CATGAGGGAGGGGGGAGGAGGGAGGGAGGGGAAAAATGAGGACCTAATGCCGGGGGCTTAAGTGGAGAGAAAATGTTTTGAGAATGATGAGGAGCAATGAATGTACAAATGCGCTTTACACAATTGATGTATGGATGGATTGTGATAAGAGTTGTATGAGCCCCTGATAAAATGATTAGGGGGAAAAAAAATTGGGTTCCTGCCCTGTGGAATGTCCCCTAATCTGAATTTACCCACTTGTTTCCTCGTGGCTTCATTCACCATGTCCTCTACTTCCTTTATTATGCTCTACATAAATGGGGCTTTGAGATTCAGGTTCAGTTGTGAAACTTCATAACTGATGCTGTGTACTTCATCGTGCTTCTCAACAAGATAGACATAGGGTCTGCTCTCCAGCTTTCAGTGCTATTGAAATTGAGCATTGGGGGTAAGGGTCACAGTGGTGATAACCCAGTCTCTCCCTTGTAAAGCCCCGGCGAGCTGCTTGCCAGGGGAAGCTCCTTCATGTCGCTTCTCCTTTTGCTTTCTGACTGTCTGCCTTCGGCTGATCCTACCCAGTTTTTGAAGTAGGATGGCTCATCTTTATAACTTTACTAGCTTGGATCTACAATTACCCAGGTACAATCCAAGTTGTCCTGGTTCCTTTTAGGAAATAATGATATTTAAAAGACCACGATGTGAATGATAGGTATAATTACTGCTTTTCAGCCTTTTTATTGTCATTACCCCTGATGTGATTAAGATTTTCAGGGAAATGAACAGGCTTCCGGGTATTGGTGTTTATTTGTCTTTTGTAGCAAACAGGAAGGCTATTCCCCATATGTAACTATGGCAAAAGATTTACCCAGGATTTGCAGTTATTTCTGCAATTATATAGTGGTGAAGTGGTTCCAGGGAAAGCACTAACTGTATAGCTTGTTGATGTTTTATTTCTTTTGCCGTTTTCCAGTGTTTCTCTAACAGAACCTCGTGCTTCTATAATTTTCCCTCCACCCCCACCCTTCTTTTTTGGAGACTTCTACCTAGGTACCGTTTTGAAACCTTGAAAGCCACTCTGTCTCCACCTGGTACGGTGTGGAGTGGCCACTCAGAATGCCCATGTTATCCCTTGTTGCTTCCTCACATCTGGCCTAGGGTGCGGATATGGGGAGAAAGGGTATAATCATAATTGGTTTGCTCAGATACTTACTACATTTCAACAATTTTATCTTGTTTAATTTGCACTTTATTTATATTGAGATTGAACTGGAAAAGGAATTTGGGGTCCTCATAGTTTCCGATTTTTGCTATTTTGTATTTAATCTCGGTTTTCATTTATTAGTTTACCAATTCTTTATTTTTTTTAAATCTCTCTTTTTTTAATTGCACCCCCTATATTGTTATGTAATGCCTTAGTTCCTAGAGGAAAAGACTGATGCTTTTGTACTATGCCTCTCTTGCCCCAGTGTCTTGCTATTTTTATGGGGATATCAATGATGGTAATTCTTAGGAAGTGGCGACACTTAGTGTCTACTCCTGTAACATGCATACTCTGAACCATAAACAAAAATAAGTTATGAGAAAAACTGACAGAAATATTTTAGCCTAAGAACCAGAGGTTTAAATATTATGTGTTACCTGCATTGAATGTAAGCAGGGTGTGCGAGACTGGCTATGCCGGTTCTCCTTAAGATCTGCCCTTATCAGGCACATTTCCTGTAGGGCTGTTAAAAGACCCTCTTGGGATGGAGTTCTGCTTTAGAGAGGAAGCTGATGTGTATGTAAGGAGAGACCATTCCAGCCGGTATCGAAGGGGAAGTTCATATCTAGAGTTCACAGTTGTTTGGATCGAATACATGTAGGGTTTGGCTTGGTTTGGTTTCGTCGCTTTTCTTTCACAAATCACATGCATGGATGCATGTCCATGTCTATGAAACAAGGCCAGGTGAATCAGGAATTTAATTGTGAAGCCAACATGGAGATCCCCTGTCATCTGCCGACATTCACACTCTGCCTTTCCCACAGCACTGTCTGGCTTAGTGCCCCTGGAACTAATCTGTCCTGTTGCATTTTAGGCCATTGCAGCAAAGGTCGGCATGGACAGTACCACGGTGAATTACTTTGCCTTATTTGAAGTGATCAACCATTCCTTTGGTAAGTGCTAGTGGCTGGATTTGGGTGGGGTGGGGTGCATTTTATTCTAATACTGTTACCTGAAGCTTCCCGAGGCTGTCCCACTGAAACCACGTGCCTGGAGAGGAGCTTGAAGACGGCGGGAGAACCCCACTCGCTAGAAGGGCCTCCAGGCAGACCAGGCGGGTTGCTCAGGGTATCTGGTCATCGTTGGCCTTCTTTCCCCTCTTTCATAAGTTACTCGGCGCTCTGGTGGCATAGTGGTTTTGTGTTGAGCTGCCAACCACAAGCCACCAGCTGCTCCTCGGGAAAAAGACATGGTAGTTAAAGTCTCAGAAGCCCACGGGGCAGTTCTACCCTGTCTTACCCCCTCAATAGCAGTGAGCTAAATCAGGTATTTTCCTGAGCTTCTTTTAAGTGAAAGGTACAAAATTCACATACCGTATATACTCGTGTATTAGCCAAGTTTTCCAGCACATTTTAAATGCAGTTTTGTGGTGAAATCAGGTGCCTCAGCTGACATTCGGGTCAGCTTCTACTTGAGTATATACGGTATTTAATGACATCATTAAGAATTAAGCTTTTGCTTTTTCAGTCAGTTGTTTTAGGAAGGGTTTTTTTTTTTAAGCAGAATAACTTTTTGTTTCCAAATGTTGGCGATATTTTATTGAAGCTTAACTCTAACCCATATTTTTTCGTTTCTACATGACTAGATTTCTACTTCATAAGGTGTTTTTATTACATAGTGACAAAGTTTTGGGGATTTCTTATTTCTACAAATGAGGAATGAGGGACACCTTGGCTGCATAACGGGACAGAAGTCTGAGGCTTGCTCTGAATGGCACCACCCCACCCCACCCCCTGCAGGTTAAGGCAACAAACAACTCAGACAGTAGTGGTTGAACAGACCCTTCCTCGTCCCAGAGAGGAGCTTGGTCAACCCAGAGCTTCGTGAGGCCCCAGGTCAAGCCCAAACTGCTAGTTTGATTCTCCTTTAAGTAGTCATGTTCCTGTTGATCTTCTTTCTCCTAACTCCTCCCTCCTCACTGCCATTGAATCATGTCCGACTGCCTGTCATGAATGACCCGTTTCTGGACTGAATAGGACTACTCCTTAGGAGTTTCACATCTCTCTTGTGCGGAGCAGCTGGTGGGTTTGAACTGCTGGCCTTTCGAGTAGCAGCCCAATGCTTAGGCCACTCTACCACCAGCACTCGTACACCCTCACTTTGAAAACAAACAAAACAAAATCAGTGGCCATCTAGTCAGTTCCAACTTCTGGCAACTACATATGTGTGACAGAGTAGAGCGCGCCCCATAGGATGGTCAGGGCTAACTTTTGGGAAGTGGATCTTCAGGCTTTTCTGCTTAGGGACCCCTGGGTGGATTCAAAGTGCCAACCTTTCAGTTAGCAGTTGAAGCACTTAATTGTGCCACCCAGGGACTCCACAGCCTAACTCACTCACTGCCATCGATCCCATAGGACAGAGTAGAATTGCATCTGTGAGTTTCTTTAGGGGGAATAGAAAGCCTCGTCTTTCTCCCAAAAGGCAGCTGGTGGTTTCAAACTGCTGACCTTGTGGTTAGCAGCCCCAGGAGTAACCACTACGCCACCAGGATCTCCTCCACAGCCTAACTAGGTTGATATAAATGATGCTACCAAGATAAGGTAACAAGGACAGTTGGATTCTAGTCTTAACCCTTTTCTAAGCTTTGGCTTCACTTTATGTAAAATGGAAATACCAAACCTGCCTTTTCAGTATCATAAAGCCATATAAGCATCAAGGGAAGGAAACTGAGCCTTTGAACCCTTACTGAAAAAAGCAATCCATTGAGAATTGCCACATGAGAGATTCTAGATGTACCTTAGCTAAGGGGGGGGGCTTATTTTAAGGATAGTCCTTTTTTTAAGGATTGTCCTTATTTTAAGGATACCTCACCTGTTATTGGGCATCAGCTATAACTTGCCCAGTAACAGGTGAGGTATGTATTTTAACTGTATTAGAGTGAGTGTTGTCTGCAAAGTCAGCATATTAATCGACGAGTAGATCATTCAGGTCCGCTTGAGGCTTAGCTTGGCAGAGTCATAGGAGTAGACCTGCCTGAACTAGCAGTTCTCAACCTGTGGGTCACGACCTCTTTGGGGTCAAACGGCCCTTTCACAGGGGTGGCCCGATTCATAACAGTAGCAAAATGACAGTGATGAAGTAGCAATGAAAATAACTTGATGGTTGAGGGTCACCACAACATGAGGACCTGTATGAAAGGGTCGCAGCATCAGGAAGGTTGGGAACCCCTGGCCGAACTCTTATTTTTTGCTCCCCAGGCAGCGCTCCTTGATGGATTTGAGAGCTGGTGTTCTGATGTCACTTGGTTAATGACAACCTGCCACTCTTGATCTGCCTCTCATAGTGTGGGCTTGGGAAGTTCCTTACAGGTTTTCTATCCTAGCTTTACTTGTTTTGTCTTCTCTTTAGTACGGAAGCTGGCACCTAATGAATTTCCTCACAAACTCTACGTTCAGAATTATACATCAGCAGTGCCAGGCACCTGCCTGACCATTCGGAAGTGGCTTTTTACAACAGAAGAAGAAATTCTCTTAAATGACAATGACCTTGCTGTCACTTACTTCTTTCATCAGGTGGGTGAATTGATCTCCCTGAAAAGTACTATTCCTGGTTCTGTTGCTTGTAGTGGATTGTTGGCTAGTTCGTGTCAACTCTTAGATAATGAGCCACTGTGCCCCTGGGTCTTAGTTACAGTTGTAAAATATCTTACTGCATTTCTCCCCAAAACAAATCTACTTGTAAAATGAAGCTATCCAGTGTTTAAAATATATTATGTTTAAACAAGTGAACATTATGTACATAAACACATTGAGGTTAAAGCAGCAAATAGCTTTACAAGGTTGCCCACTTCCCCTCATCTCCTTCAATAGGCAATCACTTTCACTCAACTTTGTTTTTGATTGTGTAGTTGGTTTGGTGTAGCTAGGGCTGTACCTTCATGTCTCTCGTATAGCTTGATTGTATTGCCGTGAGTAGGTTTTTCGGAGGCAAGCACTCTCTCTCTCTCTCAATTTCCCAGTGGAGAAGAGGAGACTTAGCTGTGTTTCCTGTCTCCTGCTCACACGTACTCCAAACCTCTTTCATCTTCCCTATCCTCCTAATTCTAGGGAGCTCTGCTTGCAGATGGGGTTACACATTGGGCTGCTAACCAGAAGATGAGCAGTTCAAAATCACCATCTGCTCTGCAGGAGAAAAATGAGACTTTTACTCTCAGAAAGATTTACCACCTCAGAAAGCAACAGGGGCAATTTGACTCTGTCCAGTAGGGTCACCATGAATCAGAATAAACTCCTTGGCAGTGGTTTGATTTTAGTGTCCTTCATTAATATAATTAAATTATAATATCTGTGGGGTCAGTATTTGGTGTTTCCACATGAAAACACTGCATGGCAGAGCATATGGTAAATACCATGGCTTCGAGCCAGTTCATTCCCATTTGACCTTTGCCAAGTATTTCCATTTCTAACCCACGTACCTTGAATCAGAATCACGTTGAACAAGAGCCCCAGAGAGTCCTCACAGGTTCCCAGGGGGGCCCTGGGTACATACCTGGGCATCTTGTTAACATGTGGATTGTGACTCAGTATAACTGGGGTGGAAATACAAATTCTCAGTAGGGGGTCAAACTGGAATGAACGTGGAGAAGCTATCCTGGTAAAGACTTCCTTCACAACGTTGTGTTTTCCCTGTTGTTTTTTTTTTCTTTTCATAGCTCTCCTTTTCCCATTTATTTATTGGTTTTCCATGTACTTATAATCCTTTCCCCGCTCAGACGCTTTACCAGTCGGCCACATCTCTCCTTTCGGAAGAAGTC